ATTTTTAGGCAAAGTGGAAAAGTTATTTAAGATAAGGAAATTAGGAAGATCATCTGATAAGTCATAAACAACATTTCCACTGATCGTATGGTGACTAATGGAATTTAAATATATATTGTCAATTAAAGTAGCTGAGTGGTGAGTTATACGTGTAGGTTGAAGTATATGAGGGTTGTAGAAATAAGTGCCTAAAGTATTTAAAAATTCTTCAGTAGGAGAATGGGAGTCCCAGTTTAGCAGATTTAAGTTGAAGTCACCCATCAAAACACACAACTTTTGCTCATTATTAATTTTGTCAAGCGTGTTGTTTAAATATGTCATAAAAGTTGAAATATCACTATGTGGATGTCTATAGATCACACCACAAATAAATATTTTGATTAATAAGACTACTTTGGATTTCAATCCAAAGAGTTTCATACCCTGCCACTATTTCAGAGAGATCATGTCTGACATTATAACGAAGACTGTCATTTATAAAAAAACCAACACCTCCAGCATTAGATAAGCTAGGCTGAGAAACAAATGTGTAGCCATTCAAGTGTTGGTTACATAAGTTCTCCTGAGTAGTTTTCAATCTAGTTTCGGTAAGACCTATTATTGAAAAATTGTAAGAACATTCTGAGAGCATTTGTATCAAGTTATCAAAATTAGAGTTTAGACTTCTTATATTAGAGTGCAGGCAGGAAAAATGGTCGGATGATATACATTCATTTATGATATCGTTAGTTTGAAATTCATCAGTAGTATAGTATTGGAAATTAGACTGACTTGGAATATTCAGATCAGGATCAAGATTAGAAATATTATTTTGACTGTTCAGGACTTGTATGATATCTAGTTGAAGTAAATTATTCAAATGATGTAGTTCAGGAGAATACATGTAATCTATATAAATATTCATATAATATACTCATCTTGGTAAATATTATTATTATCTCATTAGTGGATTTTGTTAACGTCCTTTGTTTCCAAGACACTTATTACTGGACTATTTTCATCCTTGCGTAGTAATATTTTTCCAGCCGATGTCCAAACAAATTTGTAATTTAAACGTTTCTTATGCTCCAAGCATAAATTGAAAAGTTTACGATTTTGCTGTGTGAAGCTTTCACCAATATAGATTTTGTGTTCTGCTACTCTCGTCAATCCAATATCCTTAGTCGACTTTCTTCGAAGATACTTCCTTGAAGTATAGGATTTATCTCGCACTTCTCTTCGAACAAATTTCACGATTATTGCTGGGTCATCCCTTAAAGCACCTGCATGACTGCTCGCCTTAGCAGCAAGGTGATGACTTACTAAGATATCCTGGTCTTTCACATCTACACCAATCAAATGACCAACTGTTTTGACCATGCCCCTCATTACAAACTTCATTCCTTTGAATGGGTATGCCTTTAATCTCAATGCAGTCTCTTCTTGAATACTGTTCAGCGTTATTCAATTCTTCTTTCATGATCTTCAGGCTGTTGCATTAATTTCACATTGTTACGGCATACATCCGTTGCAAGCACCTTTCACCAGCGTTGGCTTTGAAGAAAAGAGTCTGGAGAGCCGTATATGAGTTGAATTTTCCATTTTCTCCATCCTTCTTAACAAGGCCTGTTCTTCTCCAATATATATAGCACAGATTCCTTTGCTGTTGAGGAAAGAAAATTGATCCTGCATAAGCGAAACAAGTGGGGAGATCACAAATACAATAGTGTTGCTTCTCGACGGAGAACGTTTCACCATATCAAAACGAATTGGAAAGGCTTGAAATATCAAAGACTTCCCTGAACCAGTTGGTTAGTTGACAAACACGTCTTTGCCCAATAGGAGGTCTTTTAAAGCTATTATTTGTGTATTTTTAAATTTATTTAAGCCAAACATTTGAAGAAATTCCTGACAACAGTCCTCGAAGGCGGACATATTGATTATATAATACGAGACATAATTATGATAATTATTTAGCACCGCGATTTCTAGTGCTAGTATTTTGATTGGCTAAACGGAACAATGCGCACTGCATGCCCCAGCCGTTCCCTCCAAGAGAGCCCCCAAGAGGGAACGGCTGGTACCAAGCCTAGTACTTTCCAGGAGGGTGTATTTGCGCCGATCAAACTTCTCCATATTTGCAGCCAGCCAGCCGCATCCGCTCCGTGCGGTTTTGACTGATTAAGTTTTCACATTTTTTTATATGCTGAGTCAGCGACCACGACAATTATAAGAACTGGGTCGGCAAATAGACTTTAGGTAAAAGCGCGTATTAGGTTATCCGCAGGTTGGGGAGAAAAACTACGTATTGGTGAAAGAAACGCTTCATTAATAATGTTCGCTAGGCTGGATCCATCCTATATCCTGCACAGTTGTTGCAATGTCTTAAAAACATTGTCCAGAAACATTGTCCACTTAATTTCTTTACTTCTCTCCAACATGTAGGTGGTTTACTGTTCTTTAAGTGATCTACTTTATTCTGATAATATTAGCGGGACCTACTCGATTTCCTAATCTTCTAAACTCACGAGATGGACGTTTACGGCAAACCGCTAACTTCAAACGGCAAATTTTAAATCGCATTTGAAGGTAAGTTCAACAGATTGCGACAAGTTTTTAGTGAATTCATGCTTCAATTTTTGTGCACAAATTGTCCTAACTTCGAACAGCTAACAGTTGACCTCAAAATATTACTTGAAATTTGCCGTTTGTGGTTAACGGTCTGCCGTAAACGTCAATCTTAACCTCTCTAATTGCCCCCTGTCAATCTTTAAACAGTTGTTTCAATGAAGCTATGATCCATGGATGTTCAGTCTTACATACCGTTTTGAAGGAACTGGAGCGACCTGTCTTAATAATCATTTCTACGAGAGAAACCTTTTCTTCACAAGATTTTACAGCATCTATATATATCTTTTTGATAGATGCTGAAGCCACAGCTTTTTTTATAACTAGTATGTCCGCACGCCTAGATGATTGCTTGGGTTAGATTTCTTAAGATTTACTTTGTAATTTAGTAAATTAGTCTCTAGATTTTGGATTTATTTTTAGACATATATTCCTCATAAAATTCTTCAAGTTAGTACATCAAGTGTGTTTCGCCCCCACGTTGGGAAATTAACTATTTGATTAAGTGAAAGCTTTAATGTAGGCGCGGGGGGTTAAAATCTCTTGTACTCACAGTTTGAAAAGTGAGATCCATAAACGATAGACAAGTTTTTCTTTGTTTTTATGGGAAGTAATGAATTAACAAATTAAAATTAGATTTAGTATTGTCTTACTTGAGTTTCTGAGAAGGAATTTTCAGACACGTAATAACAGTTTGAAAAGTGAGATTCCATAAATGATAGACAAGCTTTTCTTCATTTTTAAAGGAAGTTACGAATTAATAGTCTAAAATTAGATTTAGTATTGTTTGACTTGAGTTTCTGAGAATGAATTTTCAGACACGTAATAACCTCTGAAACAAAATGAATTTCAACTTGACTCCAAAATTTAACTTGTTTGTTTAGATCATGCGAGATTGGTGGAAGATATCAAGTTATTTGACGTAGTAGACCTTTCGGGTGTCAATGAAACGACAGGTTATCATTCGAATTCCAAGGCATATGAATTCACGGCGACAGTGGGT